ATATATATATATATACATATATATATATACTGAATGTTTGTGCCTTTCTCAGGGTCTCTTGCTCTAGAATCAGCCTTATTCAATTCATTCCTAGTTAATGAATCTGAAAAAAAAAAAAATCTCCTCTCCCCAGCAGCAAAAACTCTTTAAATTGCTTTGGTGCACTTTTTTATTTACGCAAAGTGACGGAGGATCTGTTCAGTGCATCAGTAGTGAATCCCTGCAGCATAACTGCATAGCTAGCAAATAGTACATTGTGCTTCTGAGTAATGCAACAATAAATAACCCTTAACAATGTATTTATTTCCACAAAACTGGTGCATTTTAAAATTAATATTAAACTCTTGATATTTTTATCAAGCATTGTGTGCCTTGTTTAAGGTTTAGATAATTAGTTTAAAACCACAGCTTTGTGCAGATGCTGACCGGGGAAAGAATAGAATAGAAAATATTTAGTATTATATATCTATACATACTATAAATTTCAAAATCTATTATAAACATTTAATATTAAAAACAGCACATCTTAAAACTGAAATGTCTAAACCAATCCTAAATCGTACATATTCTAAAAAGACGTAATATATTGACTTAAAAAAGAAACATATAAATAAAAACCCTGTAAACGCCTCTATGATGAAGATTTGTGATTCTAATGTGACATTTCTCCATCAGTCCTTTAAGGCCTCATGATTGACACACAAATAGACTAATCTCACCGAACAATCAAGTCTAGGTAAATGTCATGTCAATGTCATGTAAAATACAGGAACATCTGTCGTGACCTATGCTAATCACATTGCTGTCTATTGTGTGGCCTTGACATTTTCTCATAAGTATGGAAAATAGTAATGTGGTAGAGGGATATTTTCCTCTCTCTTTATTTTCCCGCTCACCTAAATTACATCTCTTATATGTGGAAGGCTTATCTGCAATTATAACTATCCACCATTAGATGGCAACATTGTGTCACATGTTGCCAAAAACGAATGGTGGAATATTAAAGATTGGGCTGATATTTCAACTGGGAATTTAAAATAAGGTGACTCATCGTATTTTTAGTGTAGATATCTGAAAGGCATTACACGTTTGCATTTGATTTCAAATGCATTTACACAGCACTTGGTGACTGAAGGCACGAACACATCATTCACTGAAACCAAAATTACAACCTCAACCTTGCTGTCACACACCACAATTAATAATTAATTTACTCAAGCAGGGCATCACACAGAGCAGTTATTTTAAAGTTATCACAGCTCACTGAGCAGACATTTCCACCGGGACATGTTTTTGGGTAACATCACCTGACAGAGTCCACATATTCTGTCTGGCCAGATATATTCAAGGAAAAGTTCACCAAGACATGTCATTATTTTCTTCTTTATATTTAGAATAAATCTAGTTTATCCATCTATTTAATAGATGTATCTATCTAACAATACATCTGTTACATAGATATCTATTAAATATATACATGCATTACAAAGTTATTCATAATCCCTTATCAATTGCATTCTGTTATATACTTTCTTTACTAACTGTAACCACAGTTAAAATACTTTATAATACTTTTCTTTTTAATACCCATAAAAATAATTTAATATATACATTCAAATGCACAAAAATTACCTGCACATGCATTAAATAGTGTAGTGCACTATTGACAACATAAGACAACACATGATAAAACACCTGAAATATGGTGTTGGCCATGTGTTTTAATGCAGTATATTTTTTTAAGTTACAGCCTAACTGTTGTTACAGTTATTTATGAAAATATAAGGCATCATTAATGTAAGAATTAATATTTTATAATGCATTATATATATATATATAGAGAGAGAGAGAGAGAGAGAGAGAGAGAAAGATTATTAAATACTATTTAATTACAATGATATTGTATTGAGCAGCCAGTTTCACAGAACAATCTTGAACATACATGAGTAGAATTAGACCACAAAATCACATGCAGAGAGTAAGTGAGGAAGAGGATGGTGATGACGAGCAGGTTGACAGCAGAGGAAATACACAAGAGCACAGGATGAGAGTGAGAGCTCTACCTAGAATACTTTTTCTGACCAATGGAAAACTTGAGTTTACTCTGAGAGCCATCCCTAGATCGAAAGAAGAAGAGAAACAAGAGAAGAAAGAGAGATAAAGAGAGAGACCGACAAACACAGACAGTGATGACTAACATAACATGACACAATCACAACGCTAAGAGAATGAAGACACATTTAGATAGACAGATTGCTTCAAATCAGTCCACAAACAATCCATATAACATATGCACATTAGGTAGAATGAGATAGATAGATAGATAGATAGATAGATAGATAGATAGATAGATAGATAGATAGATGTTACCTGGACTGCATCTCTGGCTGTGTTTTGTGTGTGTGCGTCCCATGCGAAGTGGTCAGCTGGGCCAGAGTGCTGCTCTGCTGGATTAAGGGAGTGTGTGACTGTGTGTGTTGCGTGTGCATCTGTCTGTTCGTCGTCTGCTGCTGCTTGTATCGAGACAGGCTAAAAAAAAGCCCCAAGATGGCTTTCAGATTTCCATTCCGGATCTCTGTGAGGAAGAGATGTTCATCAACACACTGCTGTTTAGTATATAATTGGGCAGACACTTTTCTCTCAAAGTAATTAGTAGGGCACTAATTACAAGCACAGTCCCCTGTACAGCATGATGGGGTTGAGTGCCTCACTCTTGCTTCTTGCGAATGAGATAGATAGATAGATAGATAGATAGATAGATAGATAGATAGATAGATAGATAGATAGATAGATAGATAGATGTTACCTGGACTGCATCTCTGGCTGTGTTTTGTGTGTGTGCGTCCCATGCGAAGTGGTCAGCTGGGCCAGAGTGCTGCTCTGCTGGATTAAGGGAGTGTGTGACTGTGTGTGTTGCGTGTGCATCTGTCTGTTCGTCGTCTGCTGCTGCTTGTATCGAGACAGGCTAAAAAAAAGCCCCAAGATGGCTTTCAGATTTCCATTCCGGATCTCTGTGAGGAAGAGATGTTCATCAACACACTGCTGTTTAGTATATAATTGGGCAGACACTTTTCTCTCAAAGTAATTAGTAGGGCACTAATTACAAGCACAGTCCCCTGTACAGCATGATGGGGTTGAGTGCCTCACTCTTGCTTCTTGTAGGAATTGATTGAACCTACAACCTTCCAGTTATCAGCCACTACCAGTCAAGTGCTTGACAATAAAGCCATTTTATGATTGTTTCATTAATATGCGTTTACACTAATGTCCCTTTTAACATTAAGCAGGTTGTAATTTTGAAAGGCCGTTAGCACCCCTTTTTGGGGGTTTAAAAGACAATTAATATTCCATATTATTATCGATTAAACTGCACTGATACTATCGAATGAAACTTTGCTAATTTTGAAGCATCACCACTATTAACTAAACTGAATCAAATTTGAAATGACTTGCATAACATGAATAACTAAGAACATTATTGCCCTCTATAGAGCTGCTTAACTGAACTCATTTCATAATTGATCAACTTTACAACGCTGAGTTATTGAACTGAACCAACACTGAACTAAATTGAGCTGAATTATGACACAATTATCTTCTGTAGAGCTGCTTTACAGCTTTAATTTGTTTCAGAATTCATGAATTTTATCAATTTAACTCTGTTATTTTCCTGTTTATTAATATGAAGCTGCTTTGAAACAATCTGTATTATATAAAGCCCCGTATAAACAAATGTACAGCTTGTGCCGTAGCAACAAAGTTTGAAATGTGGTGTTTGAAAGGTTTTTCTGCAGCAAACAGCCAATGATATACTAAACAACTCATGCTTCATTAAGTATTAATGTGCTTTGTACAGTCAAAGAAACTTTTCTGCACTTTGTTTAGTTTCACCACTAAAAAAGTGAAGGAAAACACATTAAATGATAAAGAGGCACTCAAAAAAGCAAACAAATTGTATGCTGTTCTTGTCCAATCGAAGTTTTAACCTTATAAATATGCAAATAACCCAGAAACATAAATATCGACAAATGGTTTACAAATGTAAAATCTTGAAACTGGACTACCCAAATTGTTAAACTACTAACCTAGGGTGAGGAATGAACAGTGTGAAACTTGTAACAAGAATAATAATCCTGGCTTAATAATTGAAAGTGTGAAAAAACAGATCAAATATCAAAATTGTAATAAAATCTTACTGTAAATAAGCATTTTAAAAACTGTGTTTTTACCTTCAGCTGAAAGTCCCTGAATGTTCACACCTTTGGCTGCTAGGAAGCTCAGACAGGCATCAATGTTCTCAATCTAGAGAGAAATTCAGAGAGAGCATGTGGATAAGCACTGTAGAGATCATTAAAAAATAATCATGACAAACCACACACATATAAACATAGAAAGGAGCCATTATCACCTAAAACAAACAGGCCGGGTTAAGTTCATAACAGATGCTGTTTCCTTGCAGTCTAGATTGAGTTTTCTTCACATCTGCTCTGTGGCTGAATACATGACTCACTCTAGGAGCTGTAGTGTTATCAGAGAGCATAGATTGGCTGCTCAGTCAAAGCAGTATGCAAAGCCTTTGCTGCCAATCGTTGAGGGCGTCACATTTGCCCTGTTGCTAGGAGACGCCGTCGAGGCCCTGACGCTGACCCAGCCGCATCCTAGTGTCACTCAATTCAGAGCATAAGCGTATCTGATTGGCTGAGAGGAGAGTGATGTAATAGGCTATACTTAAAGGTCATGTGGATTCTACTAGGAATATGTTAATGATATTTACCATACTCTAGGGTCGAGGTTATCCATAATCATGGCCTCCCGTTCTACTTATGGAGCCAATATGTCATGATATGTTAATCATATTCTTGCATTATTACAAAAAAACCCTGAAATGTAAATATTATTTATTTACTTATACCAATATTCACATTTTCAGATCACTGGCACACTGTAAATAAATAAAAGATCAGTGTTTACCAGCTTTAGTGAATAATTAACACTGTACTTCAACGCAAGCATACTTTATCTAATATACATACTAGCAGACACAATTAAAATCAATATTTCAGGTAAAGAATAAGAAAGAATAAGAATTTATTTATAATAATTTTACCATTATAATATAGTGTACAGTATAATACAGTGATTTTGATCTAATATAGTATAATTTTTTACATTCTTGCCAAGTCTATTAAAAATGTAATTTGTAATTTAATATTAAGACTTATAGAGTGTAAACTCTATTCATGCCATACCTGTATTACCTATCGGTTACCAACTTTTACGAATACAGCAGCCTATATATAAATAATAAAACAAGTAACTTGTAAATTCATAAGGGCCCCTTTGACACTTTGACTTCAATATTGGACACTTCGGTTACAGTACACTTAAAAATGTATGAATATCATTGCATTAAATAACAAAATGTCATTAATGTTAAAGAAAGCATCATTAATGTTAAAGAAAGAAAGCACAAGTACTCTTTTCAAACATTTCACAAAAAGTAGTTTGTTTTGATGTACATTGTTCACTATTAAAGGTATTTCAACATTTTCTCATTTTGAAACATTGGTGGAACTTCATTCATTACGTCACTGCAATAAATGGCTAAAAAGAAGATAATTCTACAAAAACTCCAGCATCATTTGTTTGCAGAAGTCACTTGATTCGATTTTTTTGTTATGCAATGAAATTCATAAATTTTTAACTGGCTCAGTTGTCCCAATATTTTTGGGGGCCACTGTATAATTAATAAAGCATTGCTTTGATTTATTGTCCATGTTCTGCATTAAAGAGCTGGTCATCTGCCACGGGTTAGTCAGCACAAGTGTGAGTTATGTCAGCCATAGCAACACATTTCAGCCTCACTGTTCCAGTTGCTGGCAGCCAACAGTTGCTGGCCTTAAGGGTCGAGGGAGATATAGACATGTGAGGAAAGAATCTGCTCTAGATTCCTCTGACCTGGCTTTGAAGGAACCACATCCTAGTCATCCAGGACTAAAAATAACATTTCTAAATAAAAAATATCTCAGAGAGAGGGGTTAAAAATGAATCTATATCCTCTTTCTCTCTGTGAATTGAATTACAAGGCATAATATTATATGAAGTCAATATGAATGCATTAAGAAATAGGGTGTGGGGCAATTTAGCTCTAACATAACAACATTGTCTGTCTTCTCAGAATGTTGGGCAATGCATGCATGACAGCAAACACCACTCTGAATGACATTCTCATAATAGCTGGGTCATAATAGCTCACTGGGTCAATAGAAATCAGAACCTAGTGGAATAAAAGCAAACAACTGATTGCAGAGCCATAAAAAAAGCACTTAACCAAAAGCAAACACAAGCACAGCCACAGAAATGTATTCGTGAAAAACACTAGTTGTTGACCAATATGTGTTTTTCAAAGACCAATGCCAATCCAGACTGGCTGATAAAATGTGCACTGTTTATTTTACTTCAAATAAAATAAATAAAAATAAAATGAATAAAATGGGATAGCATTTAAATTTTACATTTGAATTAAAGGGGTCCTATTATGCACTTTTTCAACTTTAGTTAGTGTGTAATGTTGCTGTTTGAGCATAAAAAAAGATCTGCAAAGTTACAAAGCTCAAAGTCCACTTCAAAAGGAGCTTTTTTCCAAAACTACAACGAATGACTCGTTTGGACTACAACGCATATTTTCCGGGATTTGTGATATCACAAATATCGACGAATGGGACAAGACCTGGTTGAGCTGCACTAGAGAAGGCAACGAGTGTTATCACTATGTCGGAGACATGCTAGCTTTCCCAAGGCAGACGAACTTAGAGTGGTTACAATCATCCAGGTTTAAATCGCGCTCAAATTTATTTGATTTTGACGCAATATTTACACTGAAGCTCGCAGGCAGCTATGGTAAGGGGCATGGCACTTCCCGACCAGGCGCTGAGTGCTGCCAATCACAGCACACACTGGCCCAGCTAACCAATCACAGCACACACTGACCCAGCTAACCAATCACAGCACATTTCGTATTTCAGAAGGCGGGCCTTCATTTGATACAGGAACTATTCGAGCCGTTCATGCCAGACTGGGGAGAGAGGTGTTGTAATAATGTAAAATATGTGAAAAATAATGTGTTTTTCGAACAACCTAGTATGAGAGCCTGTTCTAGTACACCCCCCAAAACAAAATCAAAATCACACTACCATTTTAAGACTGTAAATACATACAAAAAACTGTATTCAATGAAATCAACACTTCATTTTACACAATATTAAACAATATTTGTTTTATTTAAAAATATGGAAAAATTTGATTTGCATGTTGCTAAACTAATCCTACAATACTCTAACAATTAGGGGTGCTCCGATTGATCGGCTACCGATCACTATCGGCCGATAATCACGTTGGGATGTTTGATCAGTGGTCTCTAAAAGGCCGATCTAAAAAAAAAAACGATCTCAAGCTGAAGACACTGCTGTGAGAGGTTTGGCATGACATGCAGCGGCACCGTCTCAGTCTCTGTCCGGAGATCTGTCAAGCAGATCGGATCATCAGTCAATCAGAACACGGCACGCTTACAATTGGCAACATCAACTGACTTCTCTATCTGGATAACCGATCGGATCTGTCTTTCCCACGCAATATTTAAATAAGTTTGCAGAGAATGGTCCGGTGCAAAGTCAACCTAAAGTGGTGGGCTTTCTTTTGAAAAGCATTTTCAGTCGCGGGACATTTTACAAATCAAAGATAAGTGTAGGAGTTTCACTAGTCTCCACACGGGTGTTCTCCGTCTTTTTTTTTTCAGACAGTTCGCGAGAGAGGGGGTGGGGTTTTGTGTGATGTCGACCTGCGAATGCAGACACGATGGCTGGATATGCGTTTACATTACACTGAGATCCGATCACAATGCACACTTGACTATCTCTGGACCAGGACACGCTGATCGGATAACATTCCGATCAGAAACACGTTTACACTTGTCTTTTCAATGTGTATGTGGACAACATCCTGATACTACGGTGGCAGAGAAGTGCAAAGCAAATCACAATTCTGAAAACAAAATAACAAATTACAAATTACAAATGCAAATGCAAGTCTAAAAAACAAAATAACAATTCAGAAAGCACAACAACAATTCAGAAAACATTATAACAAGTCAGAAAACACAATGACAAATTAGAAAACAAAATAACAAGTCAGAAAACACAACGACAAATCAGACAAACCGGAAGAGGTAGGTATAGTTTGAAACAGCGCCATTGGTTTGGGATTACTCACCGCTGATTGGACGAGACGTTTGTCAATCAACGTATACAGGAAAAACCAGCCGAAGAACAGCAGAGTAATACCAATAAGGTGGCATCCATTTAATAATTAAAATTAAAATGATAATTTACACTCAATATGTTATTATTGCATACCGTTTTATCATGTACTACAATACTGAAGTGCAGATAATTGCCACTATTTGCAACAAGTAGTATACGTGATAGTAGAAATCCTGCTATTTTAACATAGTGTAAATAGGTATTTGCACTTAGTGTAACTAGCATATTGCTAAAAATACTGCTATTTTCACTTAGTGTAAATAGAATCCATTGCTAATACGAGATTTGAAGAAAAAAAAAAAAAAAAAGTTCGGCAAAAGGCGGCGATCGACCCCGGGTCAATCGCGTCAAAAAGCCAAGCTCACGCACTTATCCATCTGCGCCACTGGAGCTGATAATTTACAGCCACTTTTAACTAAATGTAAATAGACACCCTGTATTTTTTATTCCATAGTAAGGGCAATTCATACAATACATTTAAACTGAGCTACTTTAATACCATCTCCGAACTTTCTACCACGACTCTGCTGTTCTTCGGCTGGTTCTTCCTGTATACGTTGATTGACAGATGTCTCGTCCAGTCAGTGGGGAGTAATCCCAAACTAATGGCGCTGTCTCAAACTATACCTTCCTCTTCTGGTTTGTCTGATTTGTCATTGTGTTTTCTGACTTGTAAATTTGTTTTCGGATTTGTCGTTGTGTTTTCTGACTTGTTATTTTGTTTTCGAATTTGTCATTGTGTTTTCTGACTTGTTATAATGTTTTCTGAATTGTTGCTGTGCTTTCTGAATTGTTTTTTGGTTTTTAGACTTGCATTTGCGTTTGTAATTTGTTATTTTGTTTTCAGAATTGTGATTTGCTTTGCACTTCTCGGCCACCGTAGGATACAGATCGCATGTTAATGCCAAGTGTAAACGCAGCCAAAGTAATAGCGCATTGTTTGCAGTAAATATGAACATGGATTGACACGAAAATGTAGTAATT